TAGGGCATGTACTTTTTTGGTAAAATTCAGTACAATCCTAATTATCTTGTTGTATAGCCTGTGCAGACAGTTTGCACCCAAATATGGGCAGCGTTATCAGAGGTGACAACCCTATAACATAATAGGTGGGGCTATGACATTAAAAAGGAGGATAGAGAAATGCTTTCTTTTATTTTTGTTGTGTTCTTTTTTAAAATATTTTCTGTAACTGATGCAGCACAATTCTACCACCATACTAGGTGGATGCATTGCTCTTTCAATATGCCACTTACTTTATTTAACAATAAAAAAAGAAAGCCACTGCATCCATCTGAATGCTGGCTGCAAGAACAGATCAGGAAGGGGGCTATGTTCACTCTGCCCCCACAAGGCAGCACAGCCCTAGCAGAGTCCTGTCTGAGGGAGAAAAGGCAGAAAGAGCAGGAAGGGTGCTTCCCTTCTTTCTCCCTAACATTCACCCCTCACGCCAGTACTTCTGTCACAAGCTTGTCCTCCCTACCATTGTTGTCTGCTTCTGTCTTACTCGTGAGTAAACAGAGTAGGCTTACACATAAGTAAACTGTCAATCAAAAGACCTGTGTAGACCTTTCACACAGAAAAATAAACAACTCCAGTGTGAACAGAGGGATCATTCAAGTGAAAGATAAAACAGATGATACTGAAGATATGAACCTCTTAAGTGCAAATCAGACTGCTCCAAATGCCCATTTGGACAGGCCCTATGTCTAATCCAACACGGCTTTTCTTATGTTGTGAAAACACTGGCTATGTGTAACATTCTCTATTTAGTTGTTGTATAATGTAATGATTTTTGAATATTCATGTTGCTGAAAGGCGGAGCCGAGAGAGATACTATAAGAGGCGGAGCCTGAGTCAATATTTCAGTCAGAGTGTGAGATTAAGAGAATTTTAAGAGTGTGTAGAGAGAAGGAGACAGTGTAATAGAGAGTGTAGTTTGGGGAAATTCTGAGGAATGATCAACTGAAGATATTCATGAATCAATCTATGTATTCAATAAATCAAAGTTTTATTTAAAAGAACATGAAGTGTGGACCTGAGTCTTTCTGAAGGAAATGGTGATTTAGAAGTCACCTGGTGGCAGCAAGTGTAAAAGAAGCAAGTGTTTGCCTTCGTGTGCTCTGGGGCTTGAAGGTCAAGCAAAGGGGCACGAGGCTGGACGTCACAATTGGTGTCTAGCGGCGGGATACGAAGGAATCCAGTGAAGCCTGAGTTGAATTCGAAGAAATCCAGTGAAGCCTGAGTTCAACTCGAAGAAATCCAGTGAAGCCTGAGTTGACCTCAAAGAATTCCAGTCAAGACTGAGTTTAAAAGAATCTGTGGCAAAGAAGTTTGGTTCCTTGCTAGAGCTTTTGGGAAAAGCTTAGTAGTGGGGGCTTCTGAACCCAGATCTGGGGGGTGGGGTCTAAGTTAGGGAACGACTCTGAAAGGAAATTCTTGTGTTTACCTCAGGATCTGAAGAGCAGAGGGCTTGCATAAGGCTCAAGGCTCTAAGAGAGTGCTTGTGAAAAGGCAGAAGCCAAGGGTCAGAGCAGATCTGAGAGAAGGAAGGGAAAAGCCTTCGCTTAAAATAGAATTATATTTGTGACTGGAAGTAGGAGAAGAAAGACAGGTCCTTTAAAAATAAGTACACACTCTGTAGTAATCATCCCAGAAGTAAATATGCCACCCAAACGCTCCACAAGGGTGAATCCTGAGGCTGAGGTTTTACCTCAAGAAATGGAGGGAAACCCTCTCAGTGACCTTTTTTTCTGAAATAAAGCAAGAGAAATTTGATGAGGGTGCCCCTTCCTTAAAGGAATTAAGCCCTCAGGGGGTTGAGAAATGGAAGCTGGAACAGCAAATTAAATTAAAAGAATTACAGCTCAAAAATGGGGCTTGAAGGTCAAGCAAAGGGGCACGAGGGTGGATGCCACACTATGTTTTATGGCTGAATTAATATTTACATCTATGTTCTCTCCCCCCACACACACACTTCTCCAGTGCTCTAGCTACCTATAGGCCTTCTATAAGACAGCTCATATTACTGGAGCCTGATTGTACATGCAGATGGTTCTTACTGATTCAGCACACATACATATTTACAGCATAAACTTATACATGTTCATCTGGTAGAAGTAAGTTCATGATTCTCAGCAAGGCTTACTCCCAAGTAAGTTTACATATCACTGATGCTTTAATCAGGCAGACATCTTTGATACAGAATACTTCTTACTGAGATAAACTGGGAGCTGTTTTGGCTATTACTAGAGAACCATACCATTTGATCTGAGGTCAGCAACCTCTTGGGTTGCTGGTAATATATTTTTTATTGTTTTGGGATCCAGGGACAGAAACATCTGTATGGGATTCTAGTTTCTCTGTGTTGTGGAATTTCAAGATCTAAAGCCTGATATGACAGACCAAGATGATGAGGATTGCGCCACCAACACTGTGTCTGCACTTTACCAAATTAAAGAAAATTTATCTATTATAAGGTATAATATAGCCTATGATTGTAGGCCACTTAATTGATTCAAGGGAAAGCTAACTTCATCCAAAGGGCTTAGTAACCTGGCAAAAGCCAATACAAGATGCATAAAGACTAATTTTCTTGAAGTCAAACAGAGCAGCCTGTGACCACTGGGATAACTCAAGCAAAACATACTTTCAGCAAATAGTCTAATCTGCAAAATCACTTTAGAGATATTGATGGAACTTGGATTGGAAGAACCACAGGGATTCACAATCCTGTATATAGAAAGTCTTAGTTGTATCATTAAATCTCCTAACTTCAAAGAAAAACAGAAATGGCAATAAAAATTGGCTTAGTCAGCAGTTTCCCATTATATTATATGACAAACTAATGGGAAAGTAATCCTAATTTTGGCTCCTTTCATCACGTCTTGAGAGAAACATAATAGAGCTGTAGAGCCATGGAAAGGAGGGAAACAAGGCTTTTTATTTATTTCATATGTGTTTGGCTTTTCCTACAAAGAAGCTAAGAGCAGTCTTGTGTGTCACAACCACTTGAGGACACACTGGCTGGAATCCGGTTGCACAACTCTATGCACTTACATATAGGCATCCTTCAGTCTCGAGAGACTATGGTATGGTGCTCTGCATGGAGGACTTGGAACAGCGTCTAGTGTGGCTGAGAAGGCCAATTCTATGCACTTAATATCTGAAAATTGCCACCACAAGCCCCAATCTCAGTGGCAAGACTGCAGTGATGACTTTTTGATATACAGGCTCCCCCATATCCTGAGGCTCCTAAATCCTTCCCCAGGCCAAAAGGGATCCATAGGGAGCCTCTGAACCAGTGGTGGGTAGGTGGAAGCATTTGAATTAAAGATTAAAGTCTATAGCTAATGACATTATCAACTTATATACACACTAAGTTGCACAGTAGGATTCCAGCTATTGAGAAATAGTATTTCACTATTTCCTAATGAGATTCACAACTGAGAGCCAATTCATATGTGCTATTTGCATATTGATATTTATAGCACTAAAATGGGAGAACATGCTTCGAGTTCAAGGACCCAGCTGGTGAACCATGATAAATGTATCATTCATGGAACTGTTCTCATCTGTTATCTCCCATTCATTCCCTACAGCACATGAAGCATGAATTGTCCATAAATGAGAATATGAATCTGTGCTAGTTCTCCTGAAGCTATAGGGATATGCTCCACATGCTTTGAGTCTCTTCCCTTTCCTTTGCAATAATGCACAAGAATGCTCTCAATCTAAGAGCTCCAGGTCACCTCGTATTGATGTCAGTAGGCTTCTTTTCTCTTCCTCTTGAAGAGACAAAAAGAGGAGAGAGATTTAGGGTCAGGCAGAAATTGACTAACTTGTAACATAACATTTTCCAAGATTTGGAAAATCAATAGATAATGCCCCACCAGGATCTTAAATATTTCTTACTGACATTGTTAAGGCAAAAGCTTTTACAATTACTTCATGCATCTTTCAAATGCAGAGCTTAGCTCTGAACTATATACTGTATAACAGTTGCTCTAATACTTCATCTTGGCCAAAGTCCTATTGGCAATTTATGCATATGTAAGTAAAATGACAAGCTACAGTTTCAAATCCCCGCCAATTAATATGGGGTGCATGACCAGGATGTAATCAACACTTTGTTAATGGCAACTTGATACTGCTACTTATATGGTGTCTTACATGTGTAAATTATCGATTGGATCCTGGCCATTGTATATAATAATTACTTATGAATACCAGCTTTCTGTCTAGTGTTGTATCACACTAATCTACCACACCTGTTCAGCAACTTCCTGCCTTGAAACCATCTAGTGGTTTTGCCACAAGGCTACTGAATTTTTAGATTCTGAGGACCAAAGAGCTGTGGCAAACTGAAAAAAGATGACAATTTGTAATGTTATAGCTGCAGTCCTATATATGCCTACTTCTGTACATGTGTAATAAGATTTACTTGTGAATAAGCATGCACAGGATTGTACTGAGGTGCTATGACTGTGAATACACTTAGCTGAAAGTCAGTCCATTGATCAAAAGAGTTACTTTGGAACAAGCATTCACAGGATTGCACCATATAATTCACAGGATTTTGCATATAATTGCCTAATCCTATGCACATTTACTAAAGAAAAGGTACATATAATTGTAGTTCAGGTGTTAATCAAAATATTTGTGAAAATTGCCTTTTAAAATTCTGTAAAGGAACATGTAATTTTCCATAGCTCCCTGGCACACTTGCTCACTTCTTCAGTATGAAAAGTCATTGCCATTACGTACAAAAAGAATACTAATCAACAAGTGCTGGAAGGTTATGTATCACACACATACAAATTGTGGATACAAAGTTGGTTCTATTATATATCATTATATATACCCATCCTATTCCACCAATTTTGAAAAAAGCATTTTTGAATCATACCTAAATGTAAACATCCCATCATTATTGTTCAAAATGGCATAATATTTTATGTTCATTTACAAAAAAACTGTATTACCTGTATAGAGCTGTCCTGATGGTTCATACACTGAATGCATTTCAGGAAGACAATGCTCTGTTATCTTCCGTGCCCTAATGCTGTTACAAACCCTGCAGGATCTTCTGCCTAAAAGGTAGCACAGGAACACCTGAAAATTACAGCGACTTAAAGAGGATTGGGTGGGTGAGTGAGAAGGTGGAGTGAATAGGCCATGATGTCATTCAGAGACAGCCTCCATTCATAAAAATCAGCAGAACCGGCTACTTAACACACTATCTGTGCTGCTTCATTCCCAGCTATTCATTGGCTCATATAAAATGAATTGAGTTCTGATGACATCTTGTGGTCAGTTGTTCATTTCTCCAAAAGGTTTTCTCAATACAAATTATTTTCTCAGAACTGAAATGCATTTGCATGTTTGTGAATCCTTTTTAAAATACACCAAAGTAAGTATTTTAAATGTAATATATAACCTCTGCTCGCCATAGTCTTTTATCCTAAAATTCAAAGACTCGGCTCTTAGTTATGTTCATGGCTTTTTGTTATCAATGGGATTCCTATCTTTTTCATACATTTAACTATATATTTCCTATCCTCCATGGCCTCCCCCAGCTTCTTGTCTTTGTTTTAGATTATGTCTTTTCCCTTTACAGGAACTTCTTGTTTCTGTCCAAAAGAGGAAAGGAATTGAGAAGCAAAGGGGCAAGTAAAGAGGGAAAAAAGTGAAAGTAAAAGAAAGGACAGGTCAGGAAGATGAAGAACAGAAAGACAAGGTACGTATTTATTATGCTTTTAAACATGTGTTTTTAAGCTATTCTACATCAGCTTCCTTCCGTGGGACAAAGAGGGGATATAAATAAACTAAAGAAACAATAAATTTTCTACTGGTGTAATATGGGGTATCTGATGAAAAAAAATTAAACTGTTTAAAGTACCTTTTTAAGCATTTGAGAGCCACTGATTTAAAATATATAAAACTCACATGACAGTCTTTCAGAAAAAAAATAGTCTCCAAAGAAATGCTGGTGATAAAAATGTAAGTACAGTGACTTACGACCATAATCCGTTCCAGAAGATGGACGTAACTCAAAATGGTCGTAAGCCGAAGCACCATTTCCCATTCAAATGCATGGGAACGTGATTAATCCAGCCCACCCAAAAGAACAAACAAACAAAAAAACAAAACAAAAAAACAAAAAAAACCCACCCTCAAATAAACAAATATATAAATAAAGCACACAGCAGCCCTGTTGGAAGGTGCTGGGGCTTTAAAAAATAACCAAAAATAAACAGCACAGTAAGCCCCATTGGAACGCGCTGGGGCTGAAAAAGTAAACACAACAAAACACACAAAAAAATCACAGCACAAAAATATAACCCCCCCAGCCCAAACTCACCCTGCAAAAGTACTTACTCAGAACCAGAAAACAGCATCAGGCATTGCCAATCCTCCTCTAACACACACTCTAACCGTTGGGGCAAAAGAGCTATAAAGAACTCTTCCCGAACCAACGGTTAGCTGTCTAATTTGAATTTCCCCCCTTTTTTCCCCTGCGTTTTTTGATCTGTCTAATTTGAATTCCCCGCCTTTTTCCCCCTGCGTTTTTTGACTGCAACTTGAAGCTCCGACTGCAAGTTGAAGCAAAATATTGCAGCTGGAACTGATCACAACTCAAAATGGTTGTATAGCAAGATGGTGATAAGTCAAGGCACCACTGTATCCAGAATGAAAGATACTGATTTTGTCAATTTTTAAAAATAGACCTTGGTAATATCTAAAGCATATTTATAAAGTATTTATGGTACACTCATGAAACTTAATAGTTCACTATTTTGGACATACAGTAGGACCCCCTTATCCATGGGATTTCAACATTTATTACCTATTTTCACATGTGTTACCAGAACTGGACAGTAGAGGGAAACAGAGAACTTGCTAGGTATACTTGTTAGTGAAGAATACATAACAGATTCTCTGGCACCATCTAGTGGCCAGTTCTGGTAATACATGTGAAAAAATGCTGTTCTTTTTCCTTTTACCATGCTGTTTTCACTATCCACGAGGGATTTGGAATCAATCCTCAGCAGATAAAGGGGTTCTAATGTATGCTAATCGGTTAAGCGTGTTAGACAAAACACCTTTATCTTTATTGGCTTAAATGGAAAATGGATCAGGTTATTTATAGTATGTTTTACAGCCATATCTTTGGTTATTAGCATTCATTGTATCATCATAGTATCAGTTATGTTTTGTAATATGATTAATATGCCTAATAACATTTTAAACCTTAAAAAGAAAAAAAACTGCTACACTTACTTTGTGCTTTATGTGATTTTGGATATACCCCGTGGTTTTTCAGGTTTTCTTGCACACGTTTGTGTTTTCATTAGTTTGTGTTACTGTTCATCTGCTAGATTCATGCATGTGTGTGCATACATGACCCATGCTTTTTTGTTTAAAAAACTGTGCTGTGCACTCAATACACAGTTGCTTCAGCTGCAACCATCAAACAGCAACCATATACTTCCTGACTTACATCTAACAGAGAAGTGCCTGATGAATTCCATCCTGCCAAGAACTTCTGGATTTTACATCTAAGAGTAACTTTGCAGGAAAAACCCATTATGCCATGAACGTTTGTACTTTAAGTTCTTTACACTGGTGCAAGCCTGATGAAGTAGTATTTTTATCTATAAAGGCTCATATATTGTATGATGACTTTATAAGTAGTTTATAAAGGTATCATGTGTTTTCCTAGTTGTTACTTAAAGCCTCGCCCACAAGGGGTCAAACTTTTCCTATATTTGAGTAGTTCTCCAATAAATCAAATTATTTCTTTATTGGTAATCTCCAAAGTAAAATACATAGAAAAAGAAATGCAGAAAAAGAATGACTAGTTTGCTGAAAAACCTTAGAGAACAGTTTGCATGCAACATACCAAAACTGCTTAGAGCTACTGTATCCAAAGTCAGAATAGCCAGATGCTGTCCAGCTTTGCAAGAAAAAAAAATGTTTGACCAAGGTTCAAGATAATGATTGATCCCATGATTTAGATATACAATTATCAGATCTCAAATTGCAAGTTTCAGGGATTACCATGTTTCCTCAGACAGAAAAATAAATATCAGAGCACACACTGACAGAGAATTATTCCATTTGTGAGACAATTTTAAAAACCTAAGTGCCTGTCTCTACTTAGCAGCTGAAAGTGAAGAGGCTGATATGGATGTTGGTATGTTCAGCCTACCAAAATGCCAGGAGAGAGGCAGGAGAGTAAAGAGAGAAGTGGTGGGCGCATGAATTTAGGCCCATTGTGCTACCTGGAGCAAGGCAAGCTGTGGAGTGCTAGCATCTTAACTCATGAGACTTCTTGTTAAACAAGTACTGACCTGAAAAAAACCCCACCTCTGTGGACTGGCTGTCAGGTATGTTGCATGTAAGTCCACAGTGAATGTGAAACAGCATATTTATTTATTTATTTATTATTTTATTTTATTTTATTTTATTTTATTTTATTTTATTTTATTTTATTTTATTTTATTTTATTTTATTTTATTTTATTTTATTTTATTTTATTTTATTTTATTTTATTTTATTTTATTTTATTTTATTTTATTTTATTTTATTTTATTTTATTTTATTTTATTTTATTTTATTTTATTTTATTTTATTTTATTTTATTTTATTTTATTTTATTTTATTTTATTTTATTTCTATCCCGCCTATCTGGTCGGTTAAGTATACAGTGTTAAAACAATTAAGGTGGCAGAAACAGCCCTAGAAATGTACATGGTACTTTAAAAATGAGGTTTGAACAGCAGTTTACTAAAAGTCATTGCAAAACAATTGACCCATTTTACAGTCAAGTTTATGGCAAGGTCACTGTAAATACAGTCGTGAAAAAGAAAGTACATCCTCTTTCAATACTATGGTTTTATGTATCAGGACATAATAAAAACCATCTGATCCTTAACAGGTCTGAACATCAGGTAAATACAACCTAAGATGAACAACAACTCATGACATACCTTTTTCAAGAAAAAATGTACTGTAATTCCTTCTGCTAGGCAGCCTTTTACAGTCATGTGAAAAAGAAAGTACACCCTCTTTGAGTTCTATGGTTTTATGTATCAGGACATAATAAAGAGGAAATAGCAAAAGAATTCCTTTTTTTCTTGGAAAGGTATTAATGGAAAAAAGAACTAACAGATCAAAAAACTGGTTGGAGAGGACGAATAGTAGAGAACAGATAAATGATATCTTATAAGGAGAAACATTATCTTGGTTAAATTTAATTCAGCTCAATGTATGGACAAATTAATGGTGAGAAAATGGTAAATCCAGAGAGATGACAAAATTTGAAAAACTTATGGTAGAGAGAGAGAAACAGAATGAGAAAACTGAAATAAAGGGGACGACTAGTGTAATTTAGAGAATATTGATTGAGGAAAATCATCAGAAGGCTCTTAAAACAGTATGGGGAAAGATATGTGAGAAGAAATAAGAGGAAGTATGAAAGAATATATGTGGTATGAGAATTTTAGAGTTTGTTGGTAAAAATGAATGAAAATTATTATAAAATAATTTGCAGATGGTATTAAACACCAGCAAAATTACACTGTATAGATAATAAACACTCCAGATAATGTTGGAGATGTAATAAAATTATGGGTACATACCATATGTGGTGGGAATGTGAAATAGTTTTGAAATTTTGGAAGTTGGTTTTTAATGAGATACAGTAATGCCTTGCATAGCGATGTTAATCGGTGTGGCAAAAATCGCCGCTAACTGAAAACATCGTTATGTGATTTTAAAAACCCCATTGAAACGCATTGAAACCCCTTCAGTGTGTTCCAATGGGGGAAAAACTTACATTTAAGCAAAAATCCTCCATATGGCAGCCATTTTCGCTGCCCGGTAAGCGAGGAATCCGTCCCAAAAAAGAGCGAGCGGCCATTTGTTCTGGCGGCCATTTTGGAACCACCGATCAGCTGTTGGAAAAAAATTGCTATGCGAAAATCAGTAAGCGAAACAGCTTACCGATCATCGCAAAGCGATTTTTACCATTCAAAACATTGTTATGCGATCA